CAGTAGCGGTTTGAGGAGCCTCCTTACGTGCACTTCTTTGTTTAGTTAGTGAGATAGCACACCAGTGTAGGAAGGGAGGAGGGTAGGAATGTGAGGTCCTCAGCAAGAACAGTGGGAGAAACATGCATTGTGTAAGGGAATTAGTTAAATACAATGTTTAAAACAACTGACTGTACATAGAAGGCTTCAGAGGAAAGCCAGTTCTTTTGCAGAGGTTCCGTCCAGAAAGCTTATGCCTTCTGCTTCTGAAGAAATTCCATAGCTTTGAACTTTTGTCTGCATCACAGAAAGAAGAGAAATAGATACCTGCCACACCTAATCCATGCACTGCTGAAGTTTGTCATGGCTTTATCTTTCCTAGGCATGACATATTGAGGGAACATAAGCCCAAAATGTTACTTGCACATCATTTTTGCAGTTTTCATAAGGCAGAATTTTCTTATGTAGGACATTTAGCACAATCTTTCTGATAAAGAGAATTTCTTGGGACACCACCTTAAAGTTGCATTGGCACATGCTGAGCTTGCAACTCAGGGTGTACAATCAAGCCTAAAGCCACTGCAGACTGCCATCATGCTGTCTAGTAGAGTACCAGACAAAATGAGAACCTACTCTCTCTCAAAAAAAAAAAAAAAAAGAGTAAAAAAGGAGTTAAAGTAAGTTTTTAGTCACAGTGCTTAATCTGCCAAGGTGAGGATCTGGTCACTCATAATCTTTTACAGTAATAAATGCCCCATTTAGATTACAACAGGTGGAATGGAACTTTTTTTTTTTTGTGCACTGTGAACCAGGGCATTTGTTTAACTGTTGATTTGAGTAGCTAGAAGATCCTCCAGGCTTTGATAATGGAATGGTTTTGCAATTCTAGATAAGGCACAGGAAAGTGAAGAAAAGTTTAAATAGAGCAGTGGCTGCAGGATCTGTAGCACTTAAAGGATGAAGTTGTGTTTCCCACCAGAGGAGAAACAGGTTTGTTTATCAGCATGTGTGAAGATAATTAACAGCTCCGAGGCAGCTGGTCTCTTGCACTAAGAGCATGTATTAGTGCAGGCTGATCAATGGCATGCAGTGGAGCAGAGGGACTGCAGAGCACTCGTGCTGGATCCCATCTGTTGGGGTACAAGAAGGGAGCAGCTGGCTGGAGGTGACCCTGCTTGAGCAGGGGTTGGACACGGTGACCTCCAGAAGACCCTTCCAACCTCAGCCCAGCTGTGACTCAGGTGCTACTGCAGCCTCTCTCTCCACTTCTGTCCATTCCCAGCACCTGGGAGGGGAGGGCAGCAGCAGCCCATGGGACTCATAGGCATTGCAGAGCTGCTTCTCTAGGTCTATCAGCTGCTGCTTAGAAAATTAAGGACTGGTGCAGTTAAGTGTGCTGTGCCCCAGATGACATGTGCCCTTGCAAAAGCTTGAGAGAAAAATTAAAGGACCTAGAGCCCGTAACACACATATTTAAGTGAAAGCATTGCCAAACTGACACATTTTTGGTGCCCTGAATTACTGAGGTTAACAGTTCTACAAGATATCACAACTCGTACCTTCATGCTTTTATCTTACCGAGTAGCTATATGTGTATCTCTATTGTTAATGCAAAAATCAAGTATTTGTTTCTCGAGCTACACCTTGTACTCATGTTCTGTATACAGCAGATTATCTTCATTTACTTTTATACTTCAGTTTTATTAACCATTGTGAAATGTTCTTTAGAGATTTAAAGCAGTGGTCTTATTCATGGGTTGGTCTTTCCACAGCCAGTGCTTCTAGGAGGAGTGGAATATTCTTTTGCCATTTTAAATAGAACTGCCAGCTGACACTTTCTCTCCTGTGTTTTGGCTACTTCAGTTATAAAGATGATGAGTCTGCCAGTAGTTCACTACTCTCTATCTCATTTTAAACTTGTTTGTGCAACTGAAGAGTCACAGCTCTGAAGCCTAAGGTGGTATCCATGCTTTTAATTCACTTCATTGCTGCAGGTGAATCTGCACCAGAGTTCTTAGAAGGTGGCTGTTAAGTGTTTTTGTGTTATTGCTTGTATCATGTCATTGATTCAATAAACTGAACTTGAATTTCTAAGTTGAGTCAATCAGTAGGACAAGTTATCTATAGCCAAACCTTGTGGGCTACCAAACTGGACCGCTGCTGCATCATTTTTCCCTGGGGCACTTAAGTGACATGAGCCCTTGTCTCACACGTGTCAGGCTTTTATAGGAACTGCAGAGCTAGAAGAATAATGAAGGAAACTTGGTGTGATAGAGGAGTCAAGAGCAGGCAAGAGAAAGCTAGAGCTGTTGAGGGCATCTGGCCAATCCACTTCAGAATTCTAGCATTAACAATAAGCAACCAGTGAAGTGTAGGTTTCAAAATAAACAGCAACAATCAGATAAAAGCTAGATAAATTAGTTCTGATTTCCTGTAAGCTTTGCAGAATGGAAACGACTGAGTAGGTTTTCATGGTCATCCTTCCCCATGACTGAAGATTTATTTAAAGGGCAGTCACACAGATAACCAATAAAACTCACCACCACTCTCCTCATCTTGGTATTTCCATTTATTATGCTGTAAAAAGCAACACTATCTGGATTTTATTTCTTAAAATAAATAACTTTCATTTTCAGAACCAGTACAGCTCAAGTTTAGATTCATTCATGGGAAACTGCTAGAAATACATTCATCACTGTCTAGTCCCCACAATACAGAATCTAAGAGTCAAGATCAGCCCAGTCAGTTACAATGACCAGAAGTACACTGCCAGTAAGTATAGTCACGGATAGTCCAGCTCTGAAGCAAAGAAATCTGGTACAATACATTTTGTTCACAAAGATAGGCTAATTAATGCTAAGACTATCACAATATCTCTGAGTACAAAGCATTAAGTTAGCTTAACAATTTTAGGTTGTGATACAGAAGAAACATGACATAAAAACAAAGGAGTGGGGGAATCCTCTTTGGAGCGTAAGGAAGTCAGCGCTGGGTAAGATAACCAAAAGCTATTTAGGGGAAAACCTACATGTCAGTGTCATGAATGATAAACAGCCAAACCAATGTACTGCATATAGTTATACTGATAAATAACGCCATGTCTAAGGAGCTGCATCGCTGAACTGGACATTACGAAAGAATCCATCTTCTCACAATGAGAAAATACTGAAAACTAACCAGCAAAAATGCACTGAAGCTGAGACTGGCTAAAAGCACTCGGTAGGAAAGCGTTAAGTTCAGGGACAAGCCATGTTAACTCAGTCAAAATCCTTCTTTGGGTTTTGGTTTTATAGATGTGTACTATATAATATAGCTGTCTTTTAAAAATGCCAGTTTGAACAATGCAAGTATCAGTTAAACAAAGCTAAATCAGGTATTTTTCTGAGAAGCTGAAGGACGTGTTTTAATAGAGGGGGAAAATATGGAAGAAGTCAGATTAGCACTGAGATTCGTAACACTAAACTAGAATCTATCTGAAAACACTCCATTACACTAAAGCCAACAGATCTGTTGTCAGAGAAAACATGCTGGAATTTACTTCAGGGTGCAGAAGAGAAGAGGCCTTGTGCTACTCAGTGACCCACATGGCTCAACAGAGAGCCAGAGGCCATTTCATTTAGTTCTTGGTTAGAACTGAGGTGGCTGTGCCACAGGACAGGAAAAGAACAGGTTAAAAGCCTTCAGAAAAATAGCTGATCTTCAGAAAAAAACACCCAAAAAACAGAAAACAAAACCCAACCAGCTTAAGAACTGTAGGATTCTTGAGAAAAAGTGTTTGATAACCATGCCAGCCAGCTTGAAATGCTGTTTCAGGGCTTTAGACTTTCAGACTCTTCCAAGATGTCATCACCATGAAGACAGTCACTGCTTGTGATGAGTACCAAGCACTTTTCCATGTGATTTGTCCTCCCTGCAGGGAGGCAGTATGGCATATCAATGAGAGACTGTACAGGAACTTGAAAGGATTTATTCTCAACTATACTGACCTGCTGGGTCGCTCTGGAGAAGGGACTTCTCACTAAGCCTTAGTGTACTCATTGCTATAGGAGGATAACGTGGTTCAGATCATCTCTATAAAGTGCTTGGGCCATTCTAGAAAGAATTTGGGCATTATTTCAGGAGGATTTTGGTGCCAAAACACAGAAACTTTGAACTTTGAGATTTACTAATGACTTGTACGCTATGTGCTAGGATACAAACCACCATATACACAACTCTCAAGCACAATCTCTTTTTTTTCTGTGTGCTAAATGATTCTTGCCTAAAATTCTTGTGCTAAAGTTCTTGTCTATGTCCAGCTGTTGTGTTTTGTGAACATCTCAAGTGACTGCTCACTTCTGAGGTTTTATACCACAGTCCTGGCAGAAGGAATTGCACATGGGATAGGGAACTGTTGTAACATTGTACTTTTGCAAACAACAAATATCTGCATCTACATTTCCCACAACGGGGCACATGCCACACTGGCTTCAGTGGCAAGACAAGAAATGCCACAGTTCACCACAAAAGGTGTCACCTACTTGTGCTCCTGGTGGTGAACTCCTGTTCCACACCAGTGGAATCCCACTGATGCAACATCCTGCTCCCTGGTTGATGGCAGTGCAAGAAGAGAACATACCCAAAAACCTGGCTCATCTCCTGCTCTGCTCAGGCTTTGATTGGCTCTATGCTCCTTAAAGCTGTTTCACTCCACCCGTGTTCCTTACTACAAGCCTAAATTAATTCAGATTTATTACATGTAGTATTTGGTTTAGTTCTTGGCCTTTCATTGCCTTCACTGGCTCCTGGTGCACCCACCAAGAACTCCACCCATCAGCCCAGAGGGGCCTGCAGCTTGCCCAAGGCTTGCTGTAGTGCAAATATAGCTGCAAGGAACAGCTGCACGGAGTGGAAGCACCCGCTTTCCCCACTTACAGGGAACTACTTTAGCAGCTGAACATGGAGAGAGAGGAGGGAGGCAAGACAAAGGGAACCGAAACAAACGCTTCCAAAACAAAAACCTCACTACACACTGGTGTTACAAAACCACACTCCCCTACGTCATTTGGTCAAACAAACCTTAAAACACATTCCCTGACAAGACTATCTCTAAGAACAAGCCTAGACCATTGACAGCTGTCACCTATATAGTCTGTGATATTTATAGTATGTAAACAAGGTTGTGTGGAAATGTTTCTTTTTTTTTATTTTATTTTTTTCTCAAAGATAGGTGCAGATCCTTATTTAACACACCCAGCCTAAATCTACATCAGCATCCTCAGCTTTCAAAAAACCTCACTGACGCTCATACCTGACAGTACTCTGGCTCATCTTGGCCATACTGGAAACAGAGGGCTAGAGAGAAACAAAAATGCAGCAGAAAAATTCCTGACCACAGACTAGAGTTCACATAGAACACAAAAATAAATTAAGTAGTGCACGGTAAAGCCAACAACAGCTAAATATTTGTATACATCAATTATATGCAGCATGAGGTAATATTGCTCACATTATGGAGGGAGATTCTTGGTTGGTTTTGTTTCTTTTGAAGAGATTGGATTTGTCCTGTGCGTATAGAAACTCCTGTAACGTAACACTGAAGTAACAGAGACTTCTGTAAAATATATACCACTATCAGATAGAAACACACACGCTCTTCATTACTTATGTATACCACAATTAAATAGGTAAGTGATTGGATTCTTAGGATCTAGCTGAAGATGATTATAGTAAGCCATCCAGATTTTTATGAACCGTCCCATTCTCCTTCCCATTGTTGCTATCCTCTGATGGTGTGTACTGGACCTGATATTCTTGAAGAATTTTAAAAACATCATGGTGTCCGAAATGTAAAGCTTCATCCATTGGAGTGTTATTCCACCTACAAGAAACAGCACAGTGTTTTTAAGATATTTAAGATCAGCATGTTAAGTACAGAGTCAAAAGCACCAAAAATCTAGTTCCTACATACTGCACTAATAATTCAGCACACAGACCACACTAAGCCTAGTAACTGTGGAATTACTTCTTTAAGCTGAGCATAACCTTTTAAATAGTGGTTTTAGTGGTTAGCAGGTTATCCTACTTGCTCTGCAGAACCTACAGAGATCTGTTCCTTCTGCTTCAGTGGACTTGATCCACACATTCCACTCTTATTTGACAGACACTTCTCCTGACAGGGACTAGGGAGAAACTACTGGAACCTCCTTCCTCCAAACCATCAGTAAAACCACCCACCTGTCTTTGGGGAAAGGATTCACTTTGCAAGCTTCCAGCAGAAACTTCACAACATCTACATGTCCTGTAAAAAAAGGAGGTTTGTGAGCATATGGACTTAGATACATCCATAGATATAAGTAAAAAGTTTTAAACAGCAGGTATGCACAGAGAGAGCAAAGATGCTCCAAAGCTGACCACTCCCACTGACAGCAAATGACATGTGAGGAGACATTACCCTCTGCAGCTGCCACATGCAGAGCTGTTCGTGAGTCATAGTCTCTCTGCTCCATATCCATTCCTGACAGAGCAAATCTAAAAAAGAGATTGCAGAGAAAAGTCTTACATAATTAAAGCGAGTTGCAAAACTAGCACGGAACAACATCCCTCTACTGAAGTGATCAACCTCTGCTCAGTGGTACCAAGAGCACATTGTACCCTTGCTGGTAATGAAAGGCCCCTCACTGCTTCAGCTTTAAGAACCAGGTTAGGGGCTTCACTTGCTTTCTGCTCTCTAGTTGTTACAAAGAACAATAAAATGTCTTTGGTAGTAGTCAACATACCCAATTTGAACTCTAATTTCAAGCTAAGCCACATAAAACAAAGTAAATTTATGCCAGGTGAGGAAATCCTGGAGAACTCCAAAGTCTGAAAATCCTGAACTGAGAGTCTTCCATCACACTATGGTGCTCTGGGACAGCACAGTTAAACTATACACATTTTTCCACCCACTAACTACATTTAGATATATTCTAGCCAAAGCAGGATGTTTATTTAGTCCCTTACTATTATTACTTTAAACGCTGCCAGATTCTATTCCAGATTTAAAAAGCAAAGCTAGATTTCCCAGCCTGACCAACAAGGTACATTTTCCAGCCAGAAGTTTTGTGGCACTTTCAGAATGGAATTACAAAGCAGGTGAGTACAATTAGGATGTTCTGCCACTGCCATAAAAGAAATGGTTAAAGAAATGTAGTTCACTACAATCCAAAGAAATGTAAAACAACAGGATTCAGGATGATGTGAGGGTACCTTGTTGATGGTTAGTTTTGGAGCTTTTGGTTAGGGTGATCATATTCAATATCTAGCTCATGCAGCTCAACGTCCCCAACACAGACACAGTGTGTGTCCATGTTCATAAACAAAACAGCAGGAACCAAACCTGCAGCATCCCTACTCCCACACCCCCATGGATTTTTACCTCCGGAGTGCAGACACGTCCCCTGTGTAGGCAGCAAACAGCAGATTTATCACAGACTTCACCTATAACGAGAGATGAAGTCCAGTTTATTTACCTTTCCTCAAAAAGAAAACCCAGGAGAGCCCAGAGTGGCCAGTTGGTCCAGTGCTTATGAACTTGCTGACTGTATTCCCTTGTCTGGCCACATTTTGCAGTACAGTGTGAAACGCTGGAAGATTTACTCCATCCTGATTACTGTAAGCTCTGTCCTTACAAGGCTGAAGTCATTAAGGACAGCAAAAGAACCATAAAACATGCCTTTCAGCTCTACTGTGGTAAAAAGTATGAGCCCTACTGTATGAGCCAACCATATTTCTTGCTTTGATTGCCAAATGACACTGAGTATTGAATTACACAGACCATCACTTTTCACAATTCATAAAACCATGAACTCCTCAGAAGACAAACTCATTCTGGAATAGCAAGATTTTTATTTTGATTTTTTAAAATTAACTCTGAAGATTCCTAATGCCAGGAGACATCTATGTCAGCAGAAGACAAGAAATAGTACCAGTTTTTCTTTGTATGACAGATTCTTCTTGCATACATCTAACACACAGATCTTTCTCAAATAAACCACTTTAAGCTAAACCATTTTAAGCAATTGTCACATCAGAGTAAGGTTTCAAAGCAGATAAAAGTTGGATCTTTTTACATAAGTATCACAGGTGAAGTCTCCAGTAAGTAGTGTTTTTCTCAGCCCTATTAATTACTCTAAAAAACCAATACTATCAGGCTACACCAACCTTGTCCCATGCACATTTTTAATACATCTTGGCTGTAACAACTCGGCAAGCTTTAACAGCAGCCAAAAATCACAAGCTAGATGGTTCTAAGCATCCCACACCAGCTTTTTTCATAAACTGATATAGCCACTTCCAGGCACCATTTCACAGTCACTTCTAGTGAACTTTCTAAATGCTGCTTTGCTTTTTAAGTTGAGTCTACAAAGCTCTGTTGCTGCCACCAGCCAAATAACAGAGACAAAGGAGGAAACTGATGCTGCATTGACCTTCTACAACCAGGAGGAGAAACAAACAGAACAAAAAATCCCCACCCACAAGCAAGTCTTCCACAGATTTCTGCAAGAACACTGGCATATATTTACAGGGCCACAGATGAGCCAATATCTGCACCTCTTACAAACCAAAGTCATGGAACTGCTTGTTGTTTATTACACCTCAAGTTTGCAGTGACGCAGAGAGAGACCCAAGTAAGAGGAAAAGGAGGCTCAAAGGCCAGGGTGGCAATGCAAAAGTGCACATCTTTTACAAACACTGCCCTGCAGACTGTACTTAAAAGGAGGTGTGAAAGGGGAATTCAGTTTGACCATCTATCTCTCCATTTCATCAGGATGATTCAGGTGCTTTCCTTGGGTAGGGAGCAGAGCAGTGCTCTGCTGCTGGGGCCCCACAGGCACACTGGGCTGGCTGCACTCCCACGTTTAGGTCCTGCAGGTGGATACTCTCCCTTTTCAGGACCTAGGAGGAGCAAAGGACACTCTGTCTTCAATAAGAACCATTTCAGAGGACTACTCTGGCTGGGCTTCTTGATGTTTCTGGGAAACACAAATATGTATTAAAGCAATAAAATAAAAATAACACACATTTCTTTCTTCAAAATAACCCACAACTTTTCAAGTGCAGCCAGGGCTCAGAATCCCTCTGAATTCAGCTGAACATTCTGCTATGAAGCCATTTTCATTTTCTACAAAGATGTGGCAAAATGTAATTTGGAGATTCCTGAGGTTTTCTAACACAGTCATCTCAGGCCAGGTCTCTCAGCAATCTGGGAGAGGTTAAAGCCACTCCTTTCTTATATAAATCATGCAAAATCTGAGGCTGCATTACTATAAAACTGAACTTCTTGGCACAACAAAACAAAAAGAAATACAAGTCCAGACAAATTGAAAAAATCTATGCTTGTTCAGTTCAGAAGAGAGAAATTTGAAAGGAAATACAACTGCTCTCTGTACAACAGGAAAAGTAAAATGAAGGAGAAAACCAAGAAATTTAGCAGGACAGCTATTAGCAGAGTAATTATCCAAAGCTGGTCAGGAATGACCTCAAGCTTAAAAAAACCCCAGAGTGGAGCCACCATAGCTCCTTGGGGCTACCTATCTCTGCTTCTAGTGAGCATGTAGTGATTTTGTGGAAGAACTAGGTTGGATTTGCTAGCACCAAAACATACCCCAACCCTATAACTGCATCCTACTGTATTAGCACATTGTCTAGGCTCAAAAAATTAACACATTTTATAAGGTATGAATTGCTCAAAAGGCAGCCATAAACAACAACAGTTTTACTGACTTTGCATAAAGAGTGAATTTGATGAAATTTAGAAATCTGCAAATACATAACACATTTTGAATTCAAAGAACATACAATCCCCATGTGCATCTTTACTGGAGAGCAGGAGATCATTCCTTAGTTTTCAAGAGAGTATTAATTTAAGTAGCACATATATTAAACCATCATGTAAGAGGTTATGATTTACATTGAGGAAAAGTTACTATGTGAACAGCACTTGCTGCCAGAAGCATTGTATCTGTACAGAATCTCACTTAGGCTGCCATAAAGTTGAGTATAAATTCTCTACCGCTGAACTCACAGTGTACTAGCCTGAAACAACAGGTCCATTGCAAAAAAAATCAAGAACCAAAAGAAACTCTAAAGTGGGAATGACAAACATAATTTGTGGAGTTTTAACTGTAGGGGACTAAATAAAATACTGAAGATGACAGATGAGCTGTATCCATTCAAACTAAGTAGGGCACAACGCAAGTAATTTAAGTGTTTAGAGACTCTGTCAGTGAGTTTCTCAGCAAGTGACTCATGATCCTCTCTCTATGTGCCACATTCAGTACAGGTGTTTCTATAACTGCATTGGTCAACACAATTTGCCCTTCACATTTAGAAACAATAAGACACTGGCAGAGGTTGCCCAGGGAGGCTGTGGATGCCCCAATCCCGACAGTGTTCAAACCCAGGTTGGCTAAAGCCTTGAGCAACCTGCTCTGGTGGGAGGTGTCCCTGCCCAGGGCAGGGGGTTGGGACTAGATGATCTCTAAGGTCCATTCCAACCCCTTAACATTCTATGATTCTATGAGAAAGTTTACCTTTGACCCAAAAGCCATGACTACCTTCTCCTACTGCTCAGAATTCCTTAACTACAATAAGTTAATAAAAGGAGAAGGGATGGAGTCCATTTGCTATATATGAGCCAGATAAACACGTTACCATACAGCTGCATGGCAGGATCAAACCCAGAGTAAAAACTGTTCCACTTTTTATCAAACAGGAGAGCAAACCTGTGCACACCAAAGCGGAGGAATCTGGCAGATGTCTCCTCACCATGCCAGCCACAGAGAGCACTACACACTCAGCTACAGTGAAACACACTTTGAAACATTCTTTCCTGAGTGCTGGATATAATCCTGGTTATCCAGGCAGGGAAACCAGCAAGAAGCTCACCAGGATTACTCAGTCACTCAGTGAGTAAAGTTCAGAAACACAACTGGCATTTTCACCTTCAGGTCAGTAGGTGTTAGAGGTCTTGGACTCAGCTGGATAAAGCTATGAAGGATCCAAGTCCTGTTTCATGTCAGAGGCAGCCAAACAACTACCACCTCTAGAGATCTTTTCCAACTACTAGTTCTGTGAGTCTGTGGGTGAGGATATGAGCAGTACAAGAAGGAAAATTCAAGACTGCTGTTGCTCTAGAACTATACCGAGGTCAAGCTGAAGGAAGGAAACACACGGAGTTCAGAGCAGCAGGAAGTCACACTGCTGGGGCAGACATTTCACATAAACACAAGGGACCAAAGGGCAAAAAATAGGGGAAAAAACACCAATTCAAAAACCCTAAAAGCACAAACTGAGTGGGCGATGGGACTGACAGTTACAAAGGGAAACTCAGTGTTAAAGTAACTCCTAGTCCACTGTAGTTATTTTAGTAGCTCCTAAGTCTGATTATGCTAAAAGTTTCCAAGTCTCCTTCAAGCAGCTGTCCTGTTTTTCTGCAAGCACACTGTCAAAGGCCTTGGGCACGGCATGATAGGTTTTGGTTTGCTTTTTAATTTCTCAGTACACTAACTTGAAAATCTGAAAACCAACTTTAACTTCAGTATTAATATGCTGAAGCTACTTACTGCAGGAGAAATTTCAACACATCCAATGGATCAGAAAGGCTTGGCCGGAATGTGGCAATTGCTTTGGTGGAATATTTGTCACAAAACAGTCTTGCCTAACTTGAGGCGCACACCCTAATCCAAACTTTCAACTTAAACAGCCTCATGATGGCTAGCAGCAAATGCCTGTACAAGGCTGAAATAGAATCACTTCTCTCTCAACACAGACCAGTTTGGAAGACTATTTTTTTTACTGAAGAAAAGCATGTCTGTCACTGCCTGGCTCTAAAGCCATCAACAGAAGACCTCTCCAAACACTCCACAGAGGGCACACTGCCATCACTATTGGGAATAAGATGGGAAACTGAGGCCCAGAGATGGAAATGGAGTCTCATGGAGTGAAGTCTAACGGTGAAGGAAGCGTGACTTGGCACCTTCAGCCCACTGGCTCTCACAGTTCAGCACCAGCAAAACACAACCAAACCACAAGCAGGAACCAAACCCAAGCACTGAGTGTACCAGCCCTGTGCTCTGCCCCTGCACACATCACTACACAGGACTCTGTCCCACTCTGCCACCACTGCACGGTGGGGACAGACTCTGCTCCTCACTGTACTTGGGTCAGGAAAGAAAAGCCAAACAGCTGTGCATGCAAGGAAAACAAATCCTTTAGAAAAAATTAATTTAGCTCAAAGCTGGATTAAATCCATGAGCTCTTAGCTAAAAAGGTCACTGAACCTGGATTTTAATTTCCTACTGTGCCCTGCTTCCTGAGAGCCCTCCTCCCTCCCCCAAATTTCTTTGAGAACATTACAGAATTTACATTCTAAAAAAAGATATTGCAGCCAACTTTACTGTTTCTCCAGGTGGCTGAGAAATACAGTCAAGCCCAAC